TGACGCTCTCCCGTGCCCAAGGTGCAGGGCGGGGTTGAAGACAGTCCCGAGCCAGCGTCCGGGAAGGCCCGTTCTGGGCTGCAGGCCGGACGAGGAGAGGAGGGGCTCAGCCCTCTCGAGTCTGGAGGAGGCGGCCCGAGACAGCGGGAGCCCGAACGCCTCTGGGAGGCGCTGCCAGCTGGGAAGTCAGGGACGGCCTTGGGGGAGGGCAGGGCCAGCCCCGGCGTGTGGGGTCAAGGGGCAGACGGGGTGTGGGTGGGCGGTGCCGCAAGAAGAGGGGAGGGTGGAGCTCAGGCTGCAGAGGAGCGCAGGCGCCCGAGGAAGGGCGACCCAGCCAGCTGGGGCCATGGGCCCCACTGTGGCTCAGGCTAGTGCTGCGGGAAGGATGGGGCTGCCGTCTCTGCTCCAAGCGCCTCCGCCTGAGGCCAGTTAGCCCCCGCTCCCCACTGCTCAGAGACCCCAGGGCCCTGCCTCTGCCGGAGCGCCCTGCGGCCCTGCCCAGCCGACTCAGCTCTCCCCGTCCTCAGCCGCTCCGGTCCGCACCTTGGTCCAGCAGGGGCTGCCCGCCAGGCAGCGGGGCGGGCGGGCGGACGGACGGGAGGCCCAGGGTGGGCAGTCTCTGGGGCGGGTGGGCTTCCCTCAGGCCTTCCCGAGCAGCAGGACCCATCAGTGTCCTTGGCCGGGCTAACTGGGCAGGTGGGCGCCTCCGGGGGCCTCACACCACGGTGCTGACCGAGGGATCTGAGAGGTTGAGCGGGCCCGTGATATCAGTGGGATGGTACTGCTGCAAAATAGAAATACACAGACAAGGCGCCCGTTAGCCCCACGCTGGGGGCACGCGCGGGGCCGGGACGGGGTGGACCGGCCAGCCGGCCAACCGGCGGGCGGGCAGGCGCAGCCTGGGGGAGGCTGGGGGTGCTCCTCCCCCGACCCCGTGGTGCTCCGGGGCTCTGCGTGGGCCGGGCCGCTGTCCCGTCCGTCTGTCTGTCTGTCTGCGGGGGAGGGGGCAGAGGAGGGCGGGCGGGGAGTCTCAGCTCTCCCTATGACGGGAACACAGCTGCAGCTGGCCCTCCTCCCTCTCAATAGCGCGTCGCGGCAGCACTGTGTCTTTTTGGTTTTGCAAAGCGCCGCGTCCACCCCCGGTGCTCTATAAATAAGAACCAACAATCAATACCCGCTAGCCCCGCCGGCCGCCAGGGACCCCAGCCCTCAGCGCCCAGTGCCGCCCTGGCCCGGACCGGCCACAGGACAGGGGCAGGGGATCTCCGCAGCCGGACGGACCCCACCCTGCCCAAAGGAGCCCCCCACCCAGGCCTCCCTCTGAACAAGCTCACAGCCCCAGAGACCAGGTGGGAGCTGGGCTGCCCTCCCATGCCCAGACCCCCAGCTGGCAGTGCCCCCCATAGTTCAGCCTTGCAGGGCGGGGCCAGCCCCAGATGCCACGTGATGCCAGAACTGGCCCCAGAGGATGGTCCCTGGTGCCCAGGGAGCTTGGGTGAGGGTTCCGCTGGGAACATGTCCCCAGAAGGGCACCATGAGGGTCTCTGAGCTGCACCTGGCCCTGCTCCAGGCAGGGCCCTGGGACCCAGTGTCACCCTCTGAAAGTGGCCCATCACCTGCACAACATTTGTGCTTGCCCCTTGTGGCTGCCTGCCCCAAATCGTTGTTTCTCCTGTCTGCCTGGACACCCCTTCTTCCCCAGCCTGCCCAACCCACGGTCCCTGCGCTATTCCCCCTCCCTGTTCCCTGCGGGACTCCTGGCTCAGACTTTGCAACATCGGCTCTGCCTGCTCTCCACAGCAGGGGTGGCTTCGGGAATGGTGCTTCCACCTGCTCCTTGAGCCTCCAGTGGCCCCCAGGCCTACAGGCTCTCACTGTCCACCCATCCTGCATGCCAAGTCCCTTCCCCAGGAAGCTGAGCAGCCAGGCCTCATGGGTCCCTCTTGGGGCACCCTGGTGGCTTCATTTCAGGATTTGGCTTGCTTGATGCCAAGTCCTGTCTGTGCCCTGGAGGTCTGCCCCGCTTCCGGTGCATTGAGGGGCGGGTGGCTGCGAATCGCACTTCCTCCCCGGGGCATAAGCATCTTTGTGGTGATGCTGTTTATGGGCTGGGGGCTTCCTGTGGACCAGACTGGCCCCTGGACTGCAGGGAGGCCACTGGGCTGAGGTCTCTGCTGCCTCTCTGGGCAGCCCCTCCCCACCATGGTGCCTGGGCCTAGGGTGCCTCTAGCAAGGCTGGCTTCACTTTGGGGGCCTCTGGTCCGAGTGTGCATATCCGCTACAGCCACAAGCTGCCCCGAGCAGGAGGTAGGGGGATTCTGGGCTCCAAAGGGCAGAAGGCCTGGCTCTGGGGTGGGCCCTGTGGGGTTGCTGGGGTCAGGAACTGAGGTGCTCATTTCCCTTCCAGAGGCCTCCCTGTCTGGAACCTCAGTGTTGTCCTGGGCTCTGCAGCCCGGGGCTTGAGGGGCCGCCCCTACCCATTCTCAGACCCTCTGGGAGCTGCCGCCACACCTCCTGCAGGGCCCCTGCACAGCCTGGGGTGGGAGCCACCCCTTTTGGTCCCACCCCACTCCCTGCCTGACAGTCCCCTGTGGCCAGGGCCAGTTCCAACTCCAGGCCCCAGCCGTCCACCCAGATGGACCCAGGCCCGGCCCCCAGCCCCCGGCCCACACAGAGACCACATGAAGATGCAACACGCATGGCTCTGGTGAGACAGGTAAGACAGGTGTCTGGGAGGCGGGGCCAGTGGCCAGACAGACGGACGGGATGGGACATCACAGCCACCCCCTCCAGGGCCGTCGCAGGGGCAAAGTGAGGGCGGCGGGCCCCTCTGGGAGAGGCGAGAGAAACGGGGACATAACAGAGAAGTGGTGTGGCCTCCCGGCAGCTGAGGAGTCCAGGATGGGGCCACGCTGGGCTCCCAGGGCCCCAGACCTGGCCCCAAGAGGTGGTGTGGCTGACTGACTGACCAACGAGATGACAGGCTTCAAGATGGCGTGTGGGTCATGGCAGGGGAGGTGGGCGGGCAGACTAACGGAGACACACGGGGAAAGCCGAGGACCCAGGAGGACCGGGGAGAAAGGTCCAGAGAGTGAGAGAGAGCAACATGGGCGGGCTGGGCAGAGCGGCTGCCGCAGGGAGACAGGGGCAGAGTGGGCCACAGGAGCCCAGGGTCCGGGGCGGGGTGATGGGGCGGGAGACACACGCAGGGCAGGGCAGGTGGAGTCGGACGCGGGACTGGGGTGCTCTCCCCCTTACCGTGTCTTTGGAGGACCTACGCCTCTTGAAGCTGGAAGCCAGGGTGGAGGTGATAGCCCTAAATGTGGCTTTCTTTTTAGGGTCAGGCTCTGCTCTACCACTCTTTCTATCCTAAAATGAATATGTATAAGTGATTAGATGGCTAGGGTGGTGGCCACACCTGCCCTCGCCTGCTCCTGGATGGGCCGCTGCCCAGCCTGGCCGGCCACTTGGGCCCTCGCTCCTGCCTGCCTCCCTGTGCTGGACAGACGGGCCGACAGCGGACGTTCGAGGGTGGCCTCTTCTCCTGCCCAGGGTCTGGGCCTGACCTTGCTCGTGCTGGGGCTGGGCTTGGGGGCTCTCGGCTGGCTCGTCCGGGGAGGTCCGCCTGGCTCCCTGGCTCCTGGGTGGCCCTGGCTTACAGGCGTCCCGAGGAGGAGGAGTCCTCTGAGGACTGGAGGAGTTGCCCCTCAGGCCACACCAGCTGTCTGCGTGGAGGCCACTGACCCCCAAGGGGCACACACCAAGATTCAGGAAGGGGCCGAGGGCTGGAGGCAGGTGTCGAGGTGGAATTGGAGTGACAGAGGCAGCTCCCGGGACTCTGGCCTCAGGTCTGATGGCCAGGTGGCCTGTGCCCGCCAGTGGTGGCAGCGGCCAGGTCCCCAGGGGACCTGTGGGGCCAAGAGCAAGAGCGGGCGGATGAGAGGTGTGGAGCCTCCAGCAACCCCCATCCCCCAACAGCCCTGGCCACACTGTCGGCTTCATCTCAGGACACAGGCTCCAGGACGGCACCCAGAGAAAGAGAAGAGACGGAGTGAACCGGAACTCGACCGCGGGCCACGAGCCCTTAGGCCTGTACAGGCCCACTGCCCACCCTGTCCCAGGTGCGTCGTGGCTGCCCTTGCTGGTGGCAAATTCTCATGGATACGACCTGGGCACCAGGCAGGACCCGGCCTGGCCCCATTCGGATTAGAGTCACGGAGCACAAGGACATAGCAGGAAAGCGAGGGGGGGGGATCTCCGAAGGGTGTCAAGGGGGCTTGGGTCGGCGGAGGGCAAAATGCATCTTGGACTCACGTGCCATACACAGGCGGGCCCCTGTCTTACCCTGCCTGATTGCCTTCCTATGGAATGGGTACCGGCGGGCGACTCTGGAGACAGAGGGGCCAGGCGGAGGCTTGGAGCAGGGTGCGTGGCCTCCCTCGGCCCCGGCTTTGCAGTGGGCAGCCACCTGCAGGCAGCCCCCCACCAGTGCTGCCCCCGTGCCCTGGGAGCACTCACCACTGCCCCTGGCCATGGCTCCTAGCTCCAGTCCTGCCTACCGGAGCCAGAGCCAGTGCCACGGCCTTCGGGGATGGAGGAGGGCCGTGGCCAGGCCGGGCCCTGGGCACCAGGCCTCGGAGGATGGCCTGCCCTACCTGCAGGTTCTTCCTCCACACGTTCACCGCTGCAAAGGCCAGCTGCATCTGCTTCCGGCGAGCATCCTTGTGCCGCTTGTAGGCAATCTCAATGAAAATCAGGAAGATCCCGGCAACGATGCCCCCCGCTACCAGCATGAAGACCCCTGTGTGCCGGGACCCAGAGCCTCAGTTGCTGGCCAGGGAGGCCGCAGCCCACGGAGAACCCACCCGAGTGTCAGGGGAGCCGCACCTGCCATGTTCTCAAAAGTAAGGGTCGCAGGGGCGTTGCTGCGCGAGTCACACTCCTGATACCGAACCCACGTCTTGTCCAGGTCTTCCATGAAGCCATTCTCATGGGACCTGGGGGTGGGAACA